CTATTTTCCATGTCTACTCTTAACAATTAGAAAATACCGAAATTAAAGTGGCTCTCCACCCTTATTTTCCCCTTGACATACATGCATAATACTGTATCTGCATGCTTGTAAATTATCTTTTAGTGCAGGACTTCTCAACCTTTTCCTTAGCATGACCCCATTTAAACACTGGCATGTTTTTTGTGACCCCAAAATGATCCAGACAAGATCAACAAGTCATAAATATGGCATTACAATGTTTATGGTTTTTATATTTTTTTTATTTGAAATCATTTAAACTTATTTTTAGGTTTAAAAAACAACATTGAATACAAAGTCTAAAAAAGTTATCAAATGCGTTTTTTGACATTTACTTCAGTTGCTTTAACTGTTGATTATATTTACTGTGCTGCCATGCTGTTAAGTCTAGATGTCATGGATGAGCATCCCTGCGACCTGATTTTTTATTGTTGTGACCCGAAATGGAGTCGTGACCCCAAGGTTGGGAACTGCTGTTTTAGTAGCATTCCTGAGTATGTTCTGGAGACCATATAGAAATAACCTAAGTTACTCAGCACAATACTATTACACCCTTTACAGCAGCCATAAAATAAACAAAGACACCTACATTCTTTATGCACCTCCATTTTGGCCTTAAAAAATAAGTAGCATTTTAGATTATGGCTGCTATGCAAGTAGCTCAGGGCTACTGGCTCTCAGGAGCTTCTGGGGCCCAGTCAATTGGTACCTGGGGACACTGCCCCTTGTGCCTGCTGGACTGCTGAAGCAGCCCTGAGAGTTCCCCGCACCCTCTACCCACTGCACCAGTCTGGCAGTGGAGGCTACTGCCTAGCTGTGACCTGCTGTGCACCTGCCAGACCTGGATGGGGTCTGCACAGCCAGTGAAGGCATCTGCCCCTCTGGGCCAGCTGCCAGTGGGCTGTAGCTGCAGAGTTGGCCTTTGTGCAACACTACTGCCATGTGTGCCCCCTGCCTGGCCATCTGGGCAGCTATTGCCCAGAAGATGTTCCCAGTGTGGTGGCCTGCTTGGAATTATCAAAGCATGTCCTCCTGGCCCCAACTGGCCAGCAGGTCAGCCACCTCCAGCTGGGTCCAAGGTGCCAGCTCTGAGCAGGATCCTCTGCCGGGGTGCTCCTACCTGCCTCCCTAGCAGGAATTCTGGTGTTCCCTATTTGAAAACTGAAAACTCCCTGATAAACAAATCCTAAAGTAATCTCTGTAAAATACCCCAAAATCCATGTTCCTCCACAATTAAAACAAAAGACCACTATATATATAGAGAGAGAAAGAGTGAGAGACAGCAATCAGTTAGGGAATGTTTTATTGATCTATCTACAGTGTTAAAGCAATCTAGAAGCCTACCAGTGTCTCTATAAGCATAATAAAATGACTTCTAAATACCTACATTTTTTGCTGTTTGCCTTTGGTTTTCTTTCCATAGAGCAGTTAGAGCTTCCTGTGACCCCTGTAACCAGGATGTGGGGACAGCTGCCCCTGCAGCCACAACTCCTGCCAGAAGGTTTCATGCCTGCCTCCCTTAGCATCTACTCCCTGCAGCCTTCCTCAAAAATCCTCTGCCTCCTCCCTCACTGGCCACTTACAGTTAAGCACAGTTCTGGCTCCATAACCTCTGAGCACAGAGCACATACAAGTTCCAGGCCCGGTCTAGTTATGCAGTAGCAGTAGCA